CATGCACAGGGAGAACATGCAGACTCCATGCAGAAAGACCCGGGAATCGAACCAGAACCTTCTGCTGCAAGGCAGCAGCTCTACCTGCTGCACTGCTGTGCAGCCCCTACCTGGAAACTTATTAAATTCAAATTAAAAATCATTCAGGTGTTCCTAGAGATGTCAAGGAAGCCACATCAAGCCAGAATCTACAGATCAGTTTCTCTTAAAGTCATTTTTGGATGATTTTTCTCTCTGTAGTCACTCGGTTCCCAGCTGCTCCCTGATGATGTTTGTATCTATTTACTGAAATCAGCTTCGGAAATCCAGAGCAGAAATGAAACTATCAGAGGAAACATGAAGGTTTCACTGCTGCTGGTTGGTAAAACGCTGCAGTTACCCAGAAGGAGGTTCGTCTCTCCGTTCTTCTAAACATGGAAATGCTAAACTTTAATTCTTTACTGACTTTACAGAAACTGACAGCTTCGGATCAGAACCAGGCCAGTTTTCAGTGCTTACTGTCTGCAGCAGCCATTATGTAATACAGCTGTGCTGCTGCTGTTCCCACCTCACATAATCGGCTCCGAATGAAACTCAGAGCTTCATAAACGACTCAGAGCAGAACCTGCTGTTCGTTCTGCTGGCCGCCGTCCGGCTCAGTCTGAACTCCAACAGCTGCTTCAGCTCTGCACCAACAGGAACTCGTCCTGACTCACGCTGTCACCTGGCAGCCATGTGAGAGCTGTTGCCATGGCGACCTGATCGTTTAGCTGCCGAACCAGGTGACGGCAGCAACGCAGCACCTGTGGAGTCAACATATGGTGCAAAACAGCAGCAAAGATGTTCGCCGTAACCATGGAAACAGATCAGGAGGAGAACAGCTGAGCTGAATATGGTGATGATTTCATGTTTTCACAAACAGACGGGTCAAAACTGGCGCTGGGCGCCATTAAAATGTTTCATCAGGATAATTTCATTTAATCAAACTGTGTGGACAAAATAATTCATATTTTCAATTAAAATTAAAAAATTTTCTGCCAAATTATTGAATTAATATCATCACATCTGAACATCAGAGATACGTTCATCTTTCCAGAGTTTCTCTCATCGTTCATGGAGCTTCTTTAGAAGTCTGGACGCTAAAGTTAGCATTAGCTGCTACATGTTAGCATTCAGATGCTATTTTAGGCTAGCATAGCCTCTGATAGGCTAACTGCTGTTAGCACCACTTGAACACAACAACAGTCTCTTCTGTTGTCCAATCAGATCGTTTAGAAACAGAAACTAAGGGAGAGAATCGGCCTCCGTTTTCTCGGCGTTTAGCTCAGAATAACCCGTTTGCTCTGGTTCTGTACTTGGGCTCATGTGGAAGCCGGCAGAGGGCTGGAGCAGCTTTCTGTTTCTGGATGGTTGGTTACATCTGCTGATTCAGGTCCTCCATCTTGTCCTCCTGCAGGAGCTGCTCCCATGAGAAGGTGGTGTCCATGCTGCAGGGCAGCGGGGCGGTGCCCACCCTGGTGGTGGAGGACGGCCCGTCAGACTTCTCCTCGGACCAGACCGACCCAGAAGAGTCCCCCAGTCTGGCACCCGCCATGGTTCCGCGTTCCAGGTCGGCTCAGAGATCCTCTGGTTAAAATAAGGAGGACATTTTACTGTTAATTATGCTTTTGTAGAAGATTGTAGTATGTAAGATAAGGTGGTTTTATAAAGTCAACTTGTTACACAATGTTAGTAGAAGGCATCTGGAAACATTGATTTACTTTTCCTCCAGGCTGGAGCTCAACTGCTCCGTCTGATTTAAACTACAGATCCACTGATGCTTTGTGCTGCAGCAGAGAAGATGAGCTTTGTTCAGACAAACACCAGAGACAGAGGAAGACGTTCCTGACACTGTCTCTGTGTCTGTCCCTGCTGGACGCTCTGTCTCTACTGGACAGGTCCCCGGCGCTCAGCTCCCTGCAGTGGGTGGCAGAGATCCTCCCTCCCAGCATTAAGGTTCAGGGTCGAACCTTCAGCCAGCAGCTGGAGCACCTGCTGACCATCCAGGAGCGCTACACCGTCTGCAAGGCCCTGGAGACTTTCTTCCAGCACAGGTGAGCCGCAGGCGGAGCGTGGTGTGGCGGTGCGGGGCAGGAAGTGACCTCATATGGAGTGTTGTTGCTGGCAGGAACCTGGACAGCCTGATAGTGGACGTCTTCCCGGTGCTGGACACTCCAGCCAAGCAGCTGATCTGGCAGTTCATCCACCAGCTGCTGACCTACGACGAGCAGGAGCGCTGCCAGAGCAAGCTGTCTCGCTTCCTGGGCTTCAAGAGCAGCGGTACGGGTCAGAAGGAACGGGTCAGAAGGAACGGGTCAGAAGGAACGGGTCAGAAGGAACGGGTCAGAAGGAACGGGTCAGAACCGCCCGGGTCAGAAGGAACGGGTCAGAACCGCCCGGGTCAGAAGGAACGGGTCTGAGCAGATATACTCAACATAATTTTATTTACCCAAATTGTAGATATTTAGAAAGTTAAATTCTGAGCTTGCCAACGTGACGTTTGGCTCCTTTGAATAACTGAATATTTAGTTTGCAAACATTTGGAATAAACATTGAAATTCCAACCTAAGTATTTAGCTTGTTGGCTTAATATTTAGATCTAAATATTTAGCAGGAAGCTGTGACATTTGTAAACGAGATGCTGAAGATATGACTTCACTTTATTTCCTAAGTAACCCAGGTGGTTTATTGATGTCCATTTTTCAAGCAGCACCATGTTTCTGTGTTTCTGGGTGACTTTCTGACTGCAGCGCTGCTGGATCCTGACGGCGCTCCGGAGCACCACAAGCGCAGCAGCTCCATGCGGGTGACCGGATCGTCGTACCGCAGCTGCGTCAGGGAGAGGAGTTCCGACGATTGCATCATCGGAACTCACCTGGGAATGGGTACGGCGCCCGGAAACACGGGCCGGACAGAACCGCCCGGCTGTACAGAAATCTCTCTGTAGATTATCCATCGCTCTAGAATTGTTTTTATTGTTTGTTTAGGTGGGAAAAACCAACAGCTGTGACTCCAGAGGTGTTTCTGTTTTACAGCATTCGTCTCCAGATTAGTTATGTCTTTTATTGTGAAATTCTTTGAGGCTAGTAGACAGTTTTTATTATTTGTTGAGTACGAGCTGCTGCTCCACCAGTAGTCAGGCCTGATGTCAGAGATAGGAGCTGAGCTCATGTCCACCGCGTTGCCTCCATCAGCTGCAGCTCTGCCTGCTTCTCTGTGCTTCCTGCTCTCCTCCGGGCGAGCCGGGCGAGCCGGGCTCACGGCCGTGTCTCTCCACGCTCTGCTTCAGGAATTCATGTGGATGAATGTGGGAGCCCGGAGGAGAGGCAGTCCGGAGACGGGACCTCCTTCCCCGAGTCCCCGGACCTCAGCCATGTAGGTAGACCTGCAGCTTCCCAGCATGCCGCTCTGCACACACACCATCATGGCTCCCTGCCACCTACTGGCACCTGATGGCCAAACATGTAAACCCACCAAAGTTAAGTCATATTCATTCACGTTTCCCTTGGTTTAGAAGATTTGGTGCCATCTTAAAGTTACACTGTCAAAATTACAATCAGTGTTTATTATTTCAGCTATGATGAGACAATAAATGTGTGTTCATTTTTCAAAATCATATTTTCATCATTATTTATTAACTTGTAAATGTCAGTTTCAAAATAAATACTGAGTTTGCTAGCTAAAGGTTTAGTTTGTAAAATAAACGTTTAGCTATAACAAGCTAACTAACATTTAGCTTCTTAACTGTAATATTTAGGTTGTAGGTAAATAGTTAGCTTGTAAACTAAGTGTAATATTTAGTTAGGAGCCAAATGCTTTGCTTTAATTTATCTCCAAGCTAAATATTGAATAACTGAATTAATATTGAAATGATCAACATGATGAAAATACGACTATGCAAATTAAACCTGAATTTTTTTAAACTGTGTAACGTTACAAACAGCACCCAAAGGAAATGCACATTAAGAAATTATAAAATAATAACCAGTGAGAGTCTCAGTTTTATTATCGTCTCATTGAAAACAACATAAGGAGTAAAACGATTTTCTGCCTTCAGAGATGAATTTCATGTTTTACGTCGAGGCTGCCAGTAAGTCTGCAGAGTGCTGCAGGTTCTTTCTGCTCTCGGCTCGCACATCTGCAGCTCTGATGTGAGAGCCGAGGCGTTGCCGTCGGCGACGGTGTGCTAACCAGCATCATGCCTTCACCCGTAGATGACAGGTGTTTACACGGAGCTGGAGAACCTGTACGCAGGGAAGAACGTGTCGCCCGCAGAGCCTGAGGCAGCGGGGCAGACCGAGGCCTACGGCCGCTCTCTGTCCCCCCTCACACTGCCCCCACTTACAGGTACCAGGGCTCACACACACACACACACACAGAGAGAGAGAGAGAGACAGACAGAGAGAAAGAGAGAGAGAGAGAGAGAGAGAGAGAGAGAGACACGCAGAGAGAGAGAGAGAGAGAGAGAGAGAGAGAGAGAGACACATGTTTGTGTTGCTATGTGGGGACGTTCCATTGACTTCCATTCATTTCTACAGCCTAAACCTGACCTTTACCCTTTTCCTAACCCTAACCAACCAAAACTCAATTCATACCTTAGTCCTAACTCTGACCCCTGACCCAAAAACAGGGTTTCCCCTCGTGGGGACCAGGCTCCGGTCCCCACGAGGGGCGATTGGTCCCCACAACGTAGTATATGTCAG